GAGAAGAAGGATGAGGAGGAGAAAAAGATGTCATTGTTAGATACAGATGTAAAGAAAAGTTGGTTATGAAGCTAAATTATTCACAACAAGATGTGTATATCCCACTCTGCAGAAAAGACATTTAGTAAATCCGAGTTCATACCATTTGTCAATATACCACCTAGGGATTTGTGAGGAGTCCAATAATGGGCTGAAAACTTTATTGATTTTCATGACATTCCCTGGATACTTGTTTGTTAGCCCTTACAGTGGTGTAAGCTGAGCCAACTCATGAAAATCCCTCTCTAAGATGGATGATACTTTTCAGACTGTTTTGAAAACACAAAGGGAATTTGTGCAAATAGATGCATGAAAACAATGTAGCTCAGCTGTGATTTGTGCACAATCTGCTGATATGCATAAATAGCAACATGTGCAAATCAGTCAGTTTTGCACAAGTGGTGGTACAGACATATGGTTTAGGATGTTTAATTGATCGAATTGCAAGAGCAATTAATACACACACAAATCATGGACTATCTTAGAGATGAAAGTCCATTAAAACAACACCAGAAAATTTGCCCACTTCCACTGATCTCATCTCAAGTGGGCAAGAAATTTGTTGAGTTCAGTGCACCTGTATTTCCCTGTTCCAGTTATTGATATCCACACAGTGTCAGCTATGAAGTATGTATGTGTGTGTGTGAATTGTGACTACCTTGCTTAAAATATACAGAAACAACCTTTGAGAAGAAGGAGTAAATTAAAAGGATGTCAGTCTCATTGAAATCAACAGCAAAACCTTACATGTCTATCATAAGTATTTATCTTTTACACATTTATTTATCTGGGGAGCACATTCCATAGATTGGGCGCCACCACAGAGAAAGCCCCCTCCAAGTACCTACCCTCCTAATTTCTTTCACGGAGAGTTGCCGGAGAAGGGCCTCTCCCACAGATCTCAAGGGGCGGGCGGGCTTATATGGATGTAAGTGCTCCTTCAGGTAACCAGGACCCAAGCCATTTAGGGCTTCATAGGTCATCACCAACACCTTGAATTGGGCCCAGACTTCAATGGGAAGCCAGTGAAGCTGATGGAGCACTGGAGTCATATGAACATAATGCCCAGTCCCCGTCAGCAGCCTGGCAGCTCTATTTTGAACCAATTGAAGTATCCGGACCGTCTTCAAGGGTAGCCCCATGTAGAGCACGTTACAGAAGTCAAGGCGGGAAGTCACCAGCGCATATGTCACTGTCGCCAGGCAGTTGTACTCCAGGTAGGGGCACAGCTGATGGATCAGCTGAAGCTGAAGGAAAGTGCTCCACTGCTGTCACCTGAGCTTCCAATGAAAGCTCTGGGTCGAGGAGCACTCCCAGGCTGCGGACCTTGTCCCTAAGAGGGAGTGCAACCCCATTCAGCACCAAGTTCAATTCACCCTCTCCGAAGCCTGATTTGCCAACCAACAGGACCTCCGTCTTGTCTGGATTGAGCTTCAGTTTATTGGCCCTCATCCAGCCCATTACCTTGGCCAGGCACTGGTTCAGTACAGCCACTGCCTCCCCTGGATTGGTGGAAAACAAGAGGTAGAGCTGGGTATCATCAGCGTACTGATGGTTCCGCAGCCCACACCTCCTGATGACCTCTCCCAGTGGTTTCATGTAGATGTTAAACAGCAAAGGGGACAAAATGGACCCCTGCAGTACTCCATGGCATAGCTGCCATGGTGCACAGCCATAGTCTCCCAGCACCACCTTCTGGAATCAGCCATTGAGATAGGAGCGGAACCACTGCAAAGCAGCGCCTCCGACCCCCAATCCCACTAGCCTATCCAGAAGGATACCATGGTCGATGGTATCGAAAGCCACTGAGAGGTCCAGGAGAGCCAACAGGGATGCACTCCCCCCTGTCCTTCTCCCTGCACAGGTCATCGTACAGGGTGACCAAGGCAGATTCAGTACCGTACCCGGGTCTGAAGCCGGACTGAAATGGGTCCAGATAATCAGTTTCATCCAAGAGAGCTTGGAGTTGTCCCGCCACCACCCGCTCCAACACCTTGCCCAGAAACGGGATTTTGGCCACTGGTCTATAATTAGTGGCCATCTCTGGATCCAGTGACGCTTTCTTCAGGACCAGTTGGACTACCGCCTCCTTTAAAGGGGCAGGCACCCGACCCTCCCTCAGAGAAGTGTTAACCACTTCCAAGATCCAGATCCCAATCCCGTGCTTGGAATTATTTATTAACCAAGACGGGCAAGGGTCCAATAGGCAAGTGGTGGGACGTACTCGTCCAAGCACCTTGTCCACATCATCAGGCCGCAATAACTGAAATTCATCCATTAATTAGTTTCACAGGCTGACTGTGAGAGCAAAGATGTTTTGAAGAAATGGGAGGGAACCCAAGAAAGGATGGAAAGCTGTTGCCCTGCCCCATAATAAGGCATCGAGAATGATGAACTATTCAGTGATAGGGTCTGGGTAGGTCTCACTAGCTGGCTCCAGACCTGCAGGAGCCACCCTAAGGGTAAGCACAAGCAATGCAAATTCAGCCAATAATAAGTTACCTGAAATGCTCTTCGCCATTGAAATCCTTTTGAAAGCCTTTTCTAATTGTTATGAAAAAGTGGGAGAATTTTTTGGCACAGCATGAATTATGTCCTTGATTGCTTTAAAACAGAACAAAGAGCCCAAACTGTAGTATGATCCTCTGACCTGAGAAGAAAATAAACAAGTCAACAGCTCTGATTCACACACTACAGTCTTTCCTGTGTAGATCAGGAAAAGTATTTGCTTGGCTGTTACTTCAAGACCTTTAGTATCCATCTTTGTTTAGATGATCACAGCTATTACGGCTTATTTGATCAGATGAACTAAGAACACTTTGCTTTGGCAAAGCCCATAAAGAAGACTGCTGCACTTCTTATTGACTCCAATGCAGCACCATGGCAGGCAAAATGACAAAGGACAATCATTTCCAAGTCAATTCAGATGAAGCACTTAATACACAATTTCAGGAAGGAAGATTTTATCACAGGCACCCTCTGTTAGTGCACTGCTGTGCTGGCCTTTGAATGCTCTGATTCAGTGAGAAGCTACAAACTTCTGTGTAAGAATCAGATGTTCTCTTTGTGTATTTGCTATTACAAAGGGAACAGAAAAGGCATCTGAGCTGAATATCCATCACTGTCACCTCAAAATGCACATATTCAGATAGAAAAGGTTTTAATAGGTAAACATATCTATCAGAAAAGTAGGTTTTGGATCCATGTTGTACAACAGATCTGTGTTCTGTTGATAATCCATCACTGACTTTTTTTTAAAGAAGACCACATGGTTCTACCTTTCTTAAGATGTCTGTAATGTAGCTAATCTATGGCAAGGGTAGGAAATCTGATCCCTTTCAGATGCTTTGAACTTCAGTTTTCCTAACCCATTTCAGCATGGTCAGGGGTTGTCAGGTTTGGAGTACATAGTATCTGGATGGTGCCAGCTTCCTACTCCTGCTTTAGGCAGAAACCTGAACACACTCTCAAGTTTCTATCCTCCAACAGTTTCTATTATTGGGCACAATAGAAATTCCATAAATGAATAAATGCATTCACACATACATACACAAAACAGTAACTCCTGCTGCTTTTCCCAGTCCTCATCTGCGCCTTGTCCATTCCTCTACCTCTCTCTGGGGGCATCCATATATCCTTTTTTAGGCATGTAGGATCCACCTGTTTCTCACTGCTTGGACTTTTTTATGAAAACCCTGAAGAAGGAAGAAAACAATGTGTATCTTCTGCCGGGAATACTTATTTTGTTTTTCTGCTGGAGATGCTTTTTATTTTTATCTTTCCCTGAAACATTAGAAGGGCTATATTTTCTTTGATGGTTTTATATTCATCGTGGTCCTTGTACCATTTTTTTAGGATATGGATGTTAAAATAGCAAAAACAATAAACAACAGTTGCAGGGGGATTCACCTGAGAGAACAGAATAATTGCTTTTCAGTGTGAAAGAAGTGCATGTGCATATATTTTATGGGAGTTTAAGCATAATGGCAAAAGCATCAGCATAATAGGGCACTGAGAATTCACTTAGAAATCCTTATCCCCATTCACATGATTATGCCTTCCAAGGATTTTGGAGGAAAATCAAAAGCAACTAAAATAGTTTTAATTATATAGTACAGATGTACCCTTTGATGCATGTGAAAGACCTGTGAACTATAAAAATGCTTTCCAGTTCCAAAATGAATGCAGAATCATTACAATGTTTTGTAGATTTGTGTGTGTGTACATGTGTGTGTGCATGCGGGGGGGGGGGGGGGGGGAGCAAAGCAGTAATCACTTTCTGTCAAGTTGGAGGCAACATAAAGCCAAGAAGAAACTCCTGAGTAATCCTGCAGTGGATGATTTATTTCTCGTGGCATACAATTTTATTTCTTTTTTGTCCTTCCCCTTTCCTTTTTCCTTTTGAATGCCATATGATCAAGCTCAGGGAATGTGGCCAATAGCGGTGCCACCAAATATATGCCTTGAAGACATAATCCCACTGCCCAGGTGACAGTTTCTTGGAGTATCCAATTCACCTCTTCATGGAAATTGATGTGAAGCTCAGTCAGAGGATGAAATCAGACTGCAACAGACAGAAGCTGGATGCTTCATCTTTTCCTGCCGAAGGACTCACTTCTAAATAAGCCCGTCTTTTTTGCAATACACCAAGCTGCTTCCTCACTTGCTGCTGCTGCTGCCAGCAGTGGTGCATGAGGGAAAAGGGCACTGCTTGCACAGCACATGGGGCTTGAAACCTGGGAAATGCCTTGTGAGTGCTGGGCACTCACACAGGGCTTATGAGCTACTGTCATCTTAATGAAACACACACTTTGTAAGCAGATTAAACTGCTTTTACAGTTTTAAATGCTGGAATAATCACACTGGGGACTTTAAGTTTGCCACTGTATCTTTGTGACATAGCCCAGATCCTCACTTGGGTGGCTTTGGACAAACCTTTCTTATGTCTCATCCTACCGCCCATGGTAGCTGTAAAATACAGCCATCCAGTTTTGAGATAGGATAGGAAAGAAGTCTAAGTTCATCAGTTTTAAAAGCCAGTGTGTTCTACAGGTTAGAACATTACAACTGAACACAGGGTGGCCAGATTCAAAAACCTTCTCAGCCATGAAATTGAGTGATATTATTCATAATGTATTCATAATCCATCTGAATAAATGGAGGAATTTCAGCTGTGTCACACTTCCTGAGTGTGTACGCAACCTTCACAACATAACTGTGTGTTCTTAACACCTCATGCATCTCCTCTTACATGCCAATTTGAAAGAATGGGAGCATTGTTAAGTTGGACTTCTTGTATTTACATATCTCGTTAGCTTTGAACTGAGGCTTATCTGTCCCCACAAGCAGCCAAAAATATGGACACAAGAAGCTCTACTGACTGACCTTTTCTGAATCATCACACATAATTAAAGTCTGAAACAACTTGGGCTAGATGGCTTTGGCCAAGTCATAACTCTCTGTCTAACAAACCTTCCTAAGACATCCAGAGGGTAAATGTGATAAGAATGATATGCATCCCAATACTAATATTTGTAATAATTTCTATAAATGTATAAACTTAGGTACATTGAGGTGCACTATCCATACTTGCCTGGGAGTAAACCTCATGGAACTTGCTTCTGAGTAGGAATGTACATGATTGCACTATTACAGTCCAAAAGAGTCTACACAATACTTTTTAAAGCATAATATGTGCTACTGTTTCCCACTTACTGTTGCTAAATGTTAGGTAGACTGTAAATTGCTCTGTTAATAATTTTGCCCTTCTCTTTTTCTATTGTTAAGCTTCATTCTGACTTGGACAAGGGAGTGGGAAGTGTTAAGTACACATTATCAGGAGATGGAGCTGGGACAGTGTTTACCATTGATGAGACCACAGGAGACATTCATGCCATAAAGAGCCTTGATCGTGAAGAGAAGCCTTTCTATACCCTACGTGCTCAAGCAGTGGACATAGATACAAGGAAACCACTGGAGCCCGAATCAGAGTTCATCATCAAAGTGCAGGACATTAATGATAATGAGCCAAAATTCCTTGATGGGCCTTATGTTGCCAGTGTCCCTGAAATGTCTCCAGTAGGTAAGTAAGATTCTAAAGAAATCTTCCCGCTTAAACACTCCGACTACATTAAGTCCTGTTTCATTTGTGGGGCAAATAAATAGGGTGCCTCTGGAAAAAAATGCCATTGCCTATGATGGTGTTGAGGCATAGATAGTACCAGTTCACACATATGCAACATGATTGCTTCAGGATCATAACAGCTTACTCAGGCCAGGCCCTGCTCACATAAAAGCTTCATTTTTGTTGGCATATTATTTCCATGCAGACAGTGTATTTGGTCACTGCATTGAGCTTTCCATGGTGGCTGTAGATCTTTCTTGGAGAGCTGTAGAAAAGGTAACAGCTCGATGTAGTGCACAAATGGAACCTCCATATTTGTGGAGGTTCAAGGTCTACTCACAGAGTTTAGCATGAATATGGTGACAAGCAAACCACCCTCACTATTGCTAAGTCATACCTTATCTTGCTGAAGTAAATACCAGAATGTTCCAAGCAACAAGCATAAGCTTTTCCATTCATGCATGTCAGATTAACATTTGAAAAAACAATTGTTCATGCTTTCATCGAAACAAATGATTTTATTACCTCTGAACAACCATCTATGGTTTGCATAATCATAACTGGACTTGGTTTTCATCTATGACTTCTTCTTCTTGCCTTTCATTGTGACATAAATATACAATAGGATGTAGATTGAGCTTGCTTTGCAAAAGTTGTGTTCCAGTCTGTATTGAGCTACATTACAGAACTATTTGTGTGTAGTATCCTAGTGCTGCTATACACAGTTTGTTCAATTTCCAGTTTTAAGAACTGAATCCATGCTGTACAGTGGCTAACAAAAGAAAGCTGACCTTAAGTGGGAGCTGCTCGATATGTCAAAGGCCAATATTGGATGGGGTAAAAATACCCCACTGGGTATTGGACAGGGTAAAATACCCAAATAAATAAATATTATTCTGGAGAAGGGATATATATTTCGAGTCAAATTTTATTGCATTTAGCCATAGGCCATTACAAAATGTGCAAAAGAAATAGCAAAAAAATTGGGAAAATTCATTAATAACAGATGATGAAATTGGAAAAATAATTATAGAAGTAAAATAAAAACAAGTTTAATCATTATCAATTAGCCATCCCCTTTGATGCCACATGTAGTCTAATCTTCATAACTGCCAAAGGAAACAGAGACATTCGATAGGAGGCGTAAGTATCATTATCTGATAACATAAAAACAATCTTCATGGATTCTGAGTATACATCAATGGCAGATAAAATTCCAACTAAAAATTTATCTCTTGGAACTCTATATAGCAGAGAGGACATCACATAATGGAGAAGATTCTCTGCTACAGGAGAACCACAAATACATACACAGCATTCTATAGGAGTGTGAAAAAAATACCCACCTAAAGGGCTGTTTGCATGTTTTAAAACTGTGAAGCAATGAAGGACCTTCTGTGCTTATAATTATGTATATTGGCTAAATAGCTTGATCTAGAGTGATTGGATTTGATTAATTTGTACCAAGGAGCTGCTTTAGATTTTAAAATTAAAGGCTGATCTAGCAATGCATCCCTAAGTTTGAACTTTATCAGCAGAGACCTGTAAAAGATCATCTGGAATGGTACATCTTTGGATAATGGCATTGAGAAAGTCAGAGTGACTAGAGTGTTTTGTGAATTGAAAGTTGTCTGGTAACTTCTAGAATTGAAACTACAACATTTACTCTTTTTCCAATATTTTATGGAAATAGGTGTACCCAAGCCCTAAGAAAGGAAAGTCCCACTTCAGCTCTCATCAGAGAAGCAGAAGAACCTTTGGGAAGGGTTAGAATTCTCCTTAAAAATTGGCTTTGGATTACCTCCAGATTAGCTAGAATCTCCTCTTTCAAATAATTGGGGACTTGACAAAATCTTTGTTATATCAGTAATATACAGATTGCATAAGGAAGGAGACAACCCCAACCCTGCCTACCTCCTTTAGCAACTGGGAATTCTGCTAGTTAGTGAGCCCAACGTTCCCACCATAATTTGAGCAAAGGTGTCTCTATATTGCTCTAGAAGCAGCAATAGTAACCTCCTGTAATAGCCATTTCAGCTAACTTTGCCCAAAGGCAGGCCCTGTTAATGGAATCGAATGCAGCAGCTAGGTCAAAAAATGCAGCATGAAGTGCTTTTGTTGACCTGTTTATGCCAGTGTGCCAGTTGGTAGAGGGTTTGTCAAAGGGATATATATGTGGCATAATCCAGATTTGGAACTGATCCAGCTTTAATCCATGACTTAGTATTTTTTTTCCAGTCTGTACGATATCAGTGACAGGAATTACTTGCTGCTAGTGCACCATGTCCTAAGAGCTGATAGTTTAGGGGCACAGTAGCTGTGCCCCAAAGCTGCTATATGTGTCTCACTTATTTTTCATGCTTCTTTTGTTATAAGAGGTTATGGATAGGCTCTAGTTTAGATTAATAAGGATGCATGTCATATGCCCTACCTGAAACATTCATAACGGGCTAATAAAAGCAGTCATAGTCTAAACTGTCACATATGTGGAATTGACTTTTTCCAATGCAATGGTATCCTTTTTTAGGTGTGGTGACTGGAACTGTACACACTGTAGCTTTTTTGACTGCTCCTATTTTCTGGAAAATCCCTTAGAATACCAACCATAACTTCCTTCTCTGGTTCTAAACAAGGCAGGTTTGGATTGATTTGGCTTGGCTCGGCTCGGCTTGGTTTATGTTCAATGGCAACTCATCACTCAGCCTTGAGGCACTTAGGCACTTGAGGCAGCAGCACTTGATAGCCCCATATTGAGGGAAGGCAGACTTTCAGGCCTGTGGGCATATTGAAAATTCTAAAAAAAACTGTCTTGGGAACAACCATAAAATGGTTGCCATCTGGGGGCATGTTTAGTCACAAAGGGCAAGTTACCTGTCTGCAGATATTCACTGGAAACTCAAAGGAGACCAGCTAATGGGCCTCACTTCACATTGAACCAATCCAGCTATCCATAAGAATTTTTTATTTAAAAAGTAAAAAGAGCAATAGGCTTTCTAAGTGGACACACTGGTGCCCAGCAGAACCATGTTGCCTGACCTTAATTTAAATCAACAAAAGGATTGTTTTTACATTAAGGCATATGCTACAGCAATTATTTGCTATATAGTATTTACTAAGGTAGAAGCAAAGATTGTGTGCACATATTATAATTGTTTTTGAAAATGCATTAAGTATTCATAATTGCAATGCATTAGCAGAACATCCTACTTAACGATGCATACAGTGAATGTGAAACAGTGACTTTCATTAGTGGAAACTCTTTGTGGAGACCATGGTTGCAAAAGTGAGGTCACACAACTTATCCTTGCTTGGTTAACTACTGTTGTGTGTGTAATTACTAGGGAGATATCTTATCTTATGAATGAATGACACTGCTCAGAGATGTGTCACGAACACATTTCTCTCCTTTTTCCTTTCCTGCAGATCAAGGTGAAAAGCTTCCAAAACACCATTCTTTATTGAACTGGGCTGCCCTTAGAATACAGAGTGAGTGATAATAAAGTTGTTAACAATAGCATTTATCAAAGTAATGATCTCTCTGACTGTTGTAGTTAGCTCTTGTCCGTCAGGAGGTGATTCCAAACTGAATCCAACATTTTCTCTCCCAAAATGAGCTGGCTGCATCCTCAGGGAGGTTCATGCTGCTTGTGGGCCAGATGGCAGGAACACAAGACATTATTTAATTGGTCTGCCTTTTTGGTTTGACAAGTAACATTGGATTGATGAAATTACACCCCTCTTCCTCTGACTCTTCTTGTTCTGCAGTGTTTCTCCCGAATTCAGAGGTGGTTAGCATCTCAACAGCTGTCTAACAAATCTTTCTCATGATAATTGACATTTCAGTAATATATTCCAACCCCTCTTCTTATCCACCTAGTTCATATACAAAATCTAAGCATTCTAGTTTGAAATGCTATATTTTGAGAGAGGTGGGACTAATCACTGCATTATGTCCCATTGATTTCATTGGATCTTATTCCCATGTAAATGAACATAGCATTCCTGCCTCAGACCACCTTTCTCTGCTTATATACTTAGGAGTTAGCCCTGCTAAGCACAGTGGGACTTACCAAGGATTCTGCTTTATATCTTTAATTTCAAGCATACCTGCCAGAATGTAAGTCCAATGGGATGCCATTCTGAATAAACATGTTTAGACTGGAATCACATACACAGTAAAACTGCTTTAATCCCATGAACTTTAATGAAATTTGAACAGCCAGCTCTGCTGAGAATTCTGGGTGAAATCTTTCATTTCACTGAGAACAACTCTCTAGGCTGCTAAATGGAACTAAAGTTGAAGTATATTTTAAAATGGATTACTCTTCCTAGCTGCCCAAATGTTTGTAAACTAACTATATTGCATAAAAACTGCTTTTTCCAGCTACTGGTTGACCAGGCTTGACCATCATTTTCCCTTTCCAGCTACTGAGCTATTTTTTCTCTTATTAGGTTGGATCTATTTATATTTCTCACATTGAAAAGCAAGCAAAGGGCACCATTACCGAGGCAGCTCTTGCTTTATGACAAACAATAATGTCCATGCATCAAACACTCAGAGACATTGGAGATAATGAGAGCAAGCTGAGAGTTAAATTGACTGTAATGGATATCAGGCACATACTCTGGCTGCTTTGTCTTAAAGAGCTTTATTTTCCCTTCCTCTCTTCCCGGCTATAGGATCCATTATTTTTGCAGTGAGTTGGGGAAGGGGGAGGGTATAACATTCGCTGTCCTGTGCTACAGGCCAAACTGGTTCCCAAAGACCAGACACTGATGGATTGCAGCAGTCAATCAAGGGATTTGCAGCCTTTCAGGGAGACAAGCAGGTGGTAACAGTGACTAAAGGATGCTAAATAAATGAGAATCAGTAAACCAAACATGATTAATGACCTTAATGCTAGATATAGAAATATTCACTATAGTGCAGATAGAATGAAAGTGAGGAAAAATCAGAGTGATAACAAAGTAATCATTAGGAACTTGATTAATGAGCAAGTAGAGGCAGAAGGTGCTGATTATGAAAAAGACAAACACACCCACAAATGAGGATGGAGTTTTCCAGGTTGTCACATGTTTTTGTTTCGATGCTCATAAGTTGTTGTGTTGCTAGGATGTTGTCTCTGCCTCTCAGGAAAAATACGCAGTCTTACAAGTGCTATTACCATCCAGACATATTGGTCTTCAGCTGATGATGGTAAACTTAGGACATGGCTCTGATTTCTGAATAAGGAGGAGATTAGGCCTTTTTATGAGCTTAAATCCAGAACAGGGTGCTGTACCAGTGGATGGCTCTGAGTCTTCTTAAGGACTTGTTCCCCAAGCAAAATGTGGCTAGAGTTCAGGACAGCAATGTTAGCAATTGGCCAGAGTCTCTAAATATCAATCTGATGCTCACCTCACTTTCAATTTCCCTGAGCACTCACAATCACTGATTTGTGCAAACAGGAAGAAAATAATATGCAAATTGAACATGGTCAAGTAGGGAAATTGTGCAAAATATTGTATTTTTTTCAAAATTGTTCAAATTACTCCCATAGACTAAATGTGAAATTGCACTTTTTTTCTTGGAAATTTGTTCAGTTTTCAAATACACATGCCTGTTTAAGGATTTACAAATATTTTTGCCTACACTTACATTTAGGCTGTGAATGGGGCATGTTCAACTATTTCGTGAGTGTGAATGGTATTCTCATACTTATCAAGATTACTTACTGCACATTACTTTCTTATCACACATTCAGTTGAGAGAGAGAGATAGAGAGAGAGAGCTATTTTCATGTAGTGCATAGATGCAAAGACAGTGCACCTTATTGTCTTCTCAGAGCTAATTCGTAGATGAACAAATAATCTATATTTGTCATTTTTGGTGGCTTCATTCCATGTTACTCTAGTAATATCAAAGTGACCCTCTAGGACAGGTAGTTCATATTATGATGGACAATAAGGGAGCTATTATTGTGACCTTACAAGTATGATTATGTCTGATCATGCCTGCATCCCTGTAACCAACTGAGATGTTATTGGAGTTGTGTGGCAAAGTAGGTACCAGATTGCGTGAGTAGCAAGTAAACTGGTTTGCATCTAAGCTCAGGAGTTCAAGTTCTCTATGGTATGATCAGCTGTGCCTGAACTGAGATAATTCTCAGCTATGCACTGATAAAACTTGGGAAAGGGAAACTAAGTTCACATGCTCTTTGATGTCCTTCCACCCATTGCCAAAGACTTGGGCTGTAATAGATAAGTGCATCTATTGGACTGAATGTTGTTTTCAATTTGCTATTGTGCTTTTAATTGTGCTTTCATGCTTCTCTTCTATTACTGTTACGTTATCAAGTTTCATATAATTGCAAGCCACCCTGAGTGCTTTTTTCTTGGTAGAAAGTCACTGTAAAAACAAATCAAATAAATGGATAGACAAATCGGTCAGTTTCCAATCTGTATTAGTTTTACATGTCACCCATCATATTTTTCTATAACTTTCTTACTTTAAAAATCTACCCACAAGATAGATAATGTCATATGCACTTTTAAATGTTCATATATATTTTCTCTCTATTTCTCCTAAGAGGTGGGATGCCTGCATATACCAGTTGCTGAGGAGCTTGGGCAGGCAGAGGTCTTGTACCCCTCCTACTTGAGTGATCCTGTGGGCAGCTGGATTGCCACCATGTGTAAAGGATGCTGAAGCAGATGGAACTTTGGACTGATCCAGCATGACTTTTCCCTAATATATGCATTTTTGTTTTCAAGTTGCCCTAATACACACAGCTTTGCACCAAACTTCGCATTCTACAAGTTATTTCAGTAGAGATGAAGCTATCTTTACTTACTATCATGTAAGTGTACATGGCCCCAGTCTTGATTTGGACAATGGTGATCAAGGTTTCAGCCTATCCTCTACCAAGTTCCACGGCAATTCTTCCTTTCCCTCATGTATGTGTAATTGTGTGTGCACCTGCATTTATTGCACACACACACACACACGTGAAGAGGAGAATAAAAACAGCCTCCACTGGCATTAATGGACACTTTGTTATCCTGTTATACACAGGCATGGGGAATGGAGGAATTTCAGGGAAAAATGGTTGGGAAATAACATGCTCCTTTCTGGATTATGATAATCCTGATCTGGATAATGATCACACATGCTTTATGAGGGGAAACATGTAAACCAGATATTGATTGGAAATCAACCAAATTGTTCTATTCACCTATTTCTTTTATTGGATTCATACCCCAGCTTTCTACCAAGAAAAAAGCACTCAAACTGACTTACAATCATGCTTATAAGAAAAATGCTAGCCACAGCTATGAGTAACAGCTTTTAGTAGTTAGTCCATTATGCACAAGTTTTGAGCTACAATGTATGATTCCAAAATTTGGGGAAGTGTGGCATCTGAAAAATAATACAATTCTTACAGTCTGGGAAGTGTGAATTAGCTTAGTTCAGTTAAAAATGCATACCAAATAAAGTTTCTTTCTTTCGCTATTTTTAAACTCTTTCAACATAGAGGTTGAGTCTGAGCAAGCCTTTAATGGAAATTCATTGGAAAGAACTTGTGTAATATCTTTGAATGGATCTGACCATGATCCTGCTTTTCCCTTATGTTTCCCTCCAAAACAAGATAAGTCCAGCCTTTCTCCTCTTATTGTTTTCTTGGCAGTTCAGTTGCTTCTTCTCCTTTCTTCATATGCAGTCCCTATGCTTTTCAAACTGCTCATTGCTTGACTTTGAAAGCTTTAAAAAAGGCAGTCCATAGATGCTCAGTTTTTCAGTGCCTAGTACTTTGAGAAGACTGTGTAGTCTGAAATAGCCAACTAGCTTACACTAGTGACTAACCCTTGTGATTTCCATTCCACATTTCTGAAAGCCTTCAAGCAAACCAGACAGTTTTCAACAGATGCTCTGTCATAGCTCTTGCAGGGAGGGAGGGAGGGAGGGAGGGAGAGAGAGAGAGCCTCTTCTTTCTTCCTGCTCTGCATAGGATGCTCATTATTTTCCAGGCTTTGACACTTGCAAGCATTCCTACTGGTTACTTCCTTAGAAATAAAGAATAGTCATTTTGTTGATTATTGACATTATTTCAGATTGCATTGCAAGCCCCCACCACTGACAGGTCTCCTGTGGCTTTAGCAATTTCATGCTGAGCGGTAATGATAACTGATTATCCTTGCTGCAGCATAGATATACAATGATATGAAAAACTTCAGCAGCTAAACATTTTGACTTACTTGCTGAGGTCAACAGTCCAGGAATCCTGCTACAGAAAAAAGTGACATCCCTACTTTCAGTACACACTTATGCAAGGAATAAAAATTCTGATCTAGCAGTTTTGTGTATATATCTCTCAATTTATGCCTTTTTGTAGGTATATTTGCCTAACGTATGAGAGGGACCCAATAAAACCCTGAAATTATCTTCTGGAGGGTGGACCCTTGTAGCACAGGCTTCCCCAGTTAGGTGAGGGCTCTAGGAAACCAGA